ACTTGCCCCAACATGCATGGGAAGTTTCATCACGATCCATCAACCGATCTCCGTACCACCGGCAGGAAACCTCGGGCGTTGGCACTCAGTATGTGAAAATCCGGCCGGAGGCTGTTCCCTTTGTGACGTCATAACTCCGTGACCTGACATGACCCGGTCAAATTTTTTTTATCAAAAGATGCGCAAGGTTTGCCCCATAAGGTACCCAAAATTTGGCGGCGCTGCGCGCCGCCGTTTTTGCACTATTTCCGAAAAACCTCAGGGGGGGGGGGTTGCACCAACCCCCCCCCCTACATGGGCGAGGGTTAAGGGGCGGCTCCATCATATGGAGGGGTGCTACAGATCGTTAATGGGCGGCAATAGGTATGATATTTAGGGACTCCGATACTTCGAAGGGCGCCACCGTTTGTTTGAGGGTGACATCATCACTTTGAGGGCCACCACCGATACTGTTCGGGGCGCCACCGACACTATAAGGGGCGCCACCGACACTGCCAGGAGCACTTTGACCGGCGTTACTATCACATATGGGCGCCGTGAGCACATTGGGGGGGGGGGGGGGCGGCACCATGACGTGGAGGGGCGTTACGGAAGGTTTGAGGGGCGGCAACATGACATTGAGGAGCGCCTCCGACACTTCGAGGGACACCAGCATTTCTTTGAGAGGCGGCACCTTGACTTTTGAGGAGACACCACCGACACTGTAAGGGGCGGCACCATCACTTTGAGGGGCGCCACGGATGGTTTGAGAAGCGGCACCATTATGTATATGGAGGGGCGCTACAGAAAGTTAGAGGGCGGCAACATTGTATTGATGAGTTCCTCCAAAACTTTGAAGGGCGCCACTGACACTGTAAGGGGCGGCACCAGCACTTTTAGGGGCGGCAGCATCATTTTGAGGGGTGCCACCGACTCGTTGACAGGAGACACCATCACATTTAGGGGCGCCACTGGCACTTTGAGGGAGGCACCATCACATTGAGGGGCGCCACCGATACTGAAAGGGGCGGCATCATCTTCTTGAGGGGCGGCATTATCTGCTTGAGGGGCAGCTCCATCACAATGAGGGGCTATGTGGATACCTAGAGGGGCGGCACCATTATATTGGTGGGTTCCTCTGACACTTCGAAGGGCGTCACTGACACTATAAGGGGCGGCACTAACACTTTAAGGGGCGGCAGCATCATTTTGAGGGGCGCCACCAACTCTTTGGCGGGCAGCACCATCACATTCAGGGGCGGCATCATCTGCTTGAGGGCGGCTCCATCACAATGAGGGGCTATGTGGATATCTAGAGGGGCGGCACCATTATATTAGTGGGTTCCTCCGACACTTCGAAGGGCGTCACTGACACTATAAGGGGCGGCGCCAACACTTTAAGGGGCGGCAGCATCATTTTGAGGGGCGCCATCGACTCGTTGGCGGGCAGCACCATCACATTCAGGGGCGCCACCGGCCCTTTGAGGGCGGCACCATCACATTGAGGGGCGCCACCGATACTGAAAGGGGCGGCATCATCTTCTTGAGGGGCGGTATCATCACATTGAGGGGCTCCACAGATGCTTAAGAAGGGCGGCACCATTACATTGAGTGGGACTACTAACAGATTTAGGGGCGGCACTGTCACATTGAGTTGTGGGATCATCACTTTCTATAGACGGCTGCTTCACTTTAAGAGGCGGCATTATCATTTCGGAGGGCAGCAGCCTCACTATGAATGACGGCACCTAGCCTGCATGTGCGTGCTGCATCCTAGAGGGGGCGGCAACTGGGTCGGCAAACGGCTGTCACTGGGTCGGCATTCTCCGTGACTGGGTCGGCAATTGCCGACCCAGTTAACATGTTAAAATACGCCCTGCATTTCAGAGCCGGAAGGATGATAGGATGGAGACATTGGTCTTCTTGGCGAGCACCCTGGGTCCAGTTCATATAGAGTCCCTGGTCCCATTGCTGTTACGTGACACTTATTGGAAAGGGCGACCCCACAATGGATTCATATAGCCACTCTTACACACCTGCACCAACGTTTCCCAAAGTGTCCGTTTCCCAGTAAACATGCCGACGTCGGGGTGACGTCGGCAACTCGGCATCGGCATGCCGACGTCGGCCCGACGTCGGTCCAACCTCGGCACGACGTCGGCTGGATGTCGGATATGCCCGCATGTACCGACGTCCAGCCGAGGTCCAGCCGACGTCGGGCCGACGTCGGGCCGACATCGGACCGACATCGGCCGCTGTTTTGACCGTTAAAATAATATAAAATACATGTTTCATGCTTCATAAAGAGCTTCTGTATTCAAAATATCCTCAGGAAACTCAAATCTTCCTCCACGCCGCAACCCCCTGATCCGGACTGGACGGGAAACTTTATCCCATTTGGGATTGCCCGTAAGCCGAGCTCGCCCGTAGCCGGGTGCGGTGAGTGCTTGGGGGCTGCTCGGCCTATCCGTTGGTCAGGCTCAGCCCCGGCAACTCACCAGGGCCGGGCCCAGTTCATATAGAAAGGCCAGTCGGCAAGTGTCACTTTGCCAAAGTGTCACTTATCAACCCAGTAAACATGCCGACGTCGGCCCGACGTCGTTTCAACCTCGGCCCGACATCGGCTGGACGTCGGATATGCCCGCATGTTCCGACGTCCAGCCGAAGTCCAGCCGACGTCGAGCCGACGTCGGGCCGAGGTCGTTTGCCGAGGTTGACGAGATCGTTTGTCGTTGGACCGACGGGGCCGACGTCGGCATGTTTATTGGGACAACGCGCCAAAAAATATCAACCGGCGGCGGGATTCGAGCCCCCCAGTCGCCGACGTCGGCATGTTTACTGGGACAACACGCCAAAAGCATCAGCCGGCGATGGGAATCGAACCCTGTGTCATTTGAACGCGAGGTTAGTGCGCTAACCACTACACCACGCAGCCAGATAGCAAATTCAGTTTGTTTTGTTGGGTTATGCCCTTTCGGTCCGACAAGACCATTTCAGAGCCGGAAGGATGATAGGATGGAGACATTGGTCTTCTTGGCGAGCACCCTGGGTCCAGTTCATATAGAGTCCCTGGGCCTGGTCCCGTTGCTGTTACGTGACACTTATTGGAAAGGGCGACCCCACAATGGATTCATATAGCCACTCTTACACACCTGCACCAACGTTTCCCAAAGTGTCCGTTTGATAAGTGGCACTTTGGCAAAGTGACACTTGCCGACTGGCCTTTCTATGTGAACTGGGCCCGGCCCTGGTGAGTTGCCGGGGCTGAGCCTGACCAAAGGATAGGCCGAGCAGTCCCCAAGCACTCACCGCACCCGGCTACGGGCGAGCTTGGCTTACGGGCAATCCCAAATGGGATAAAGTTTCCCGTCCAATCCGGATCGTTGCGGCGTGGAGGAAGATTTGAGTTTCTTGATGATATTTTGAATACAGAAGCTCTTTATGAAACATGAAACATGTATTTTATATTATTTTAACGGTCAAAACAGCGGCCGATGTCGGGCCGACGTCGCCCCGACGTCGGCTGGACCTCAGCAATTGATCTCGGTCCGACGTCGGCCCGACGTGGGCTGGACCTCGGCTGGACGTCGGTACATGCGGGCATATCCGACATCCAGCCGACGTCGTGCCGAGGTTGGACCGACGTCGGGCCGACGTCGGCATGCCGATGCCGAGTTGCCGACGTCACCCCGACGTCGGCCGACGTCGGGCCGACGTCGGCATGTTTACTGGGTTATTTTTCATAGTGGTGTGAAATGTGGTTGGGGTACGACCGACAACCCGTCGGGGCGAATTTCGCACTGGGGTACTCAAAATTTGAAGAATTTAAGACGTTTCCATGAGTTTTGAAGGTATGGATAAGTTCTGAAAATCCGGTTCTCCTTATCTGGGCCATTAACTCCATACGGTCCAGGAAAGCTGGCACACTACCTTTAATTATATTATCATCACGTTTCTTCGGAGAATCTTTGCACCTATGTTCTGTTTTTGGTGCCAGGAACAAGAGTCGATTTATCTACCAGCAGGAGAGCCGATTATTGGGGGGGGGGGGGACAAAAGATAGTATGTCCCACCCAACATTTTGGTTGGGGGGACATGTCCCACCCGTCTCAACCCCCCCCCCCCCCGGTGGCGGAGCCCTTGCTCAGTCGGCAGGGGCGTAGGCAGGGGGGGGGGGGCACTGAACCATGCTCCCCTTGGGCGCCGAAGGTTCCCTTTGCGATTGGAGGGCGCCGAAGACCCCCTCCAATCCGCCCTATTGCACTCCGCCCGATCCGCCCTATTGCACTATGCAATACGCAGACAACTCAGAATAACACTCGAAAAAGTAAGTTTTTTGGTGTTCAGCCAGCACAGCCCAACCGACGACCACAAAAGGGTTGCTGAGGCTTCTCATCGTTGCACGACACATAGAATCAAAAGGTAAAGGCAAAAACCGTGCAAGGATGCTGTCCATTTGTTAAATATTGGTGTGTCCCTAATCATATTCTCCTGCGTCCCAATTCACCCGCCTCTCGGCCTCTCCCCTAGCTATGTGCCTAATTTTACCGAGATAAACTTTCATTTTCAATAGCTTGGACGGATACTGAGGAAGATAGTATAGCTAGGTGAAGATCATCGAAGCCCGTATTGACCCACGCCATTTCCCGTTTTACCCCAAGGGTGGGGCAAAACGGAAAAAGTGCAGGACCTGTTTCAAAGAAAGTTTTTAAATGCGTCTGGATATCAGATCAAGTAGTTAAATGCACTGGCGCCTTATCAGCAAGGCATCAAGGTCCCGCTCAGCACCATGAACAGTGGTTTTGATCCACATTTTCTTAGGGTGCCCATATTGCCCCACCTTCCCCTACCCCAGGCTTGGCTCCTGCAGGATCGCCCCCCCCCCCAAAAAAAAAACGCAAGTCTGGATCCGCCAGTGTCCTCCCATACTCTCCCCTAAGTAAGCAGACGCTCCCTCCAGGCAATGGGACAGCATTATTTGTTCAGAAACCACTTCCACGATTCAATGCATCAGACGCCGGTTATTGATCTAGATGTCTTTAATTGAACAATGGTTATTTACAAAATAAATTCATACAAACACGTTGACAGAGTCCGTTGCGGATTCACAATAGCAATCACAATGGCTGACATCGTTGGCACGTTGAAGCCGGTGTCTGGGCGCATTCTGCCCTCTCTGTTCTAGCTCCCCAGCGTGGACCACGGCGCCTAAACAGACGCCCACTCACTCAGAACTGGGAAGCACGGGTACGCGCAGCTCCAGCACGTATAGCTTACATATCTTAGTGCTAACGTAACTGCCTGGGCGACCGGAAATATGAACTAACGGTACATAAATCATAGTTGGATCTCTTCTTACGGCGATAACATACTTTCACGAATACGACCCATTCGACAGAAGCAGTGATTTAGGTAAGCAATCTTGGCACAATTAAAGCTGCTGCTCCGCTTTAAATGAACTTAACACGACCAGTCAACATTCGCCTATTTCATATTGCCGCCTTCGAGAATGACAATATGCTGCACTCCATTGGTAATAAAAAGGGGGAGAGCCGCCGCGCTGAGCCGACCTGGCAGCCACTGGGGCGTCTCGGCACGGCGCGACATCACAGCTGACGCCCGGTGAGCAGTCGGCCAGTCGGGCGGCGAGCTACGCCGGCAGAGCGGCGCAGCGTGGACGGGACGGCGCCCACACAAACACTGCTGAGGCGACCAACAACACTGGGCGCGGCGGCGCCACCGGCGGCCCTACCGGCCAGCAATGCCCACCCGTGCCGCCACGGTCAGACGCTTGAGCGACTTTTCAATGTTGAGCCGATGTCCCATGCGCTTCACACCGAGCTGGGCCAGTGCCGGCCCGTCCAGCTGCAGCAGTCGCGCGCCGTCCACCTCGGCCTCTGCGAAGCGCGCCTTGTACTCGGGCATAAAGAGGCTCTCCAGCCAGTCAGCGGTGTCCTCGACGCTCCACTGGGACACAGGCACCGTGCGGAACCGGTTCTTGACGTGCGCGCCGGCCGCCGGCCGCGGCCGGCTCGCCGCCGGGATCTTGCTGGGGCTGCCGGCCGAGTGGCGGCGCGCGCCGTCTGGCCGCGGGATGCCGGAGCTGGCGCGCGCCGGGCTGGCGCCAGCCGTCACCGAGCCGGCGCCGCTCGGTGAGCTCAGCGCTGCCGGCGGCGACGTGCCGGCGCCGGCCGGAGACCGACTGCGCACCGCCAGCGACCTGGGCTTCACCAGGCGCGACTGGCTCTCGGCGGCCGGCTTGGGCGGCGGCCGCGGCGCCGGCGCCTTGTGGCCGGCCGGGTCGCTGAACTCGGGTGGTGGCGCCAGCAGCAGCCCGTCGCCACCAAACCCGGGCGGCGGCGGCACCACGGCCGCGGCCGCCGCCGCGCCGCCGCCCAGCTGGCTGACGTGCTGCTCGATCTCGCGCAGACTATCCTCGATGCTGCGCTCGTCGTCGGCGGCGGTGCCGTGCGCCGGGTGCCGCTCGGCCTCTGTGTCGGTGCCGTGCGCGGGGTGCCGCTCGGCCTCTGTGTCGGTGCCGTGCGCGCCGCTGCCGGTGATCACCACAGTAGTGGTGCCGCCAAAGCGCAGCTGGCGCCGCTGGCGCGCCGGCCGCCCGCCCGGCACCGTGATCGACACCGGCTTGGCAGCGCCGCTGCTGCTGCTCAGGCTGGACGCCGGCGGTGTGGTGGGCGCGGCCGTCTTGGCGTGCGCCGTCGACAGGCACGGGATACTGCTCGACTTGGTGGGCGGGGCGGCGGCGGCCGGCCGCGCCGGCGGCCCACCGCGCTCCGAGCTCAGGATCCACGTGCGGTCGCTGGTGTCGTCTGAGCTCTCCGACTCGCCGCTGTCGTCGCGGCGCCGCGTGTATGAACCGCCCTCGGTAGGGATGAATGTGACGTATTTCGGCGGCTGCGCCTGGTCCTGGTCGGAGCTGACGCCCGATGACGAGCTGTCCGCCTCCTCCTGCTGGCGGCGCGGCGCGGCGCCCGGCAGGCCGGGTGGCTGTCGGGCGCTGCGCAGTTTGGCGCGCGCCGAGCGCAGGTCAGTGCCACTCAGAGTACCGATGGTGTGCGACTTTGTCATCCCCTGGGGCACGGTTTTGGTCGGACTCGGGATGCCCGACGGCATCTGCTTCTTCCCCACTTGTATCCGCGTCACCTGCTGCACCCGATCACCGGCTGCCAGCGCGTCTCGGGCGGGTGGGCACTCTGCTGGTGCCGGCGCGTCTCGGGCGGGTGGGCACTCTGCTGGCGGCGGCGCAGCTCCGGCCGGCCCGCCGCGCACATCGCCCACGCTGAGCCGGCGCCGACGCTCGGCCACCTTCTCGGCCAGCAGCGTCTGCAGGTTTGAGCCGCCGCCCGCCGGCGGAGGTGACGGCCGGGCCGGCTGCTCGCCGGCGGCCGGCGCCGGGTGCGAGCTGCGCGGCGACGGCGGCGGTTTGAGCAGCGCCGCCGGCGGCGGCGGCGGCAGCTCCTCGTCGGCCGGCTGAGACGTGGAGCGGCGCAGCGGGCGCGCGTACAGCTCGGACGGCGGCGCCGCGTTGGTGGGCGTCGTCTCGTCTGACAGCGGCTGATCGGTCCGGTCCGCGTCGCGCGCCGGCGGCGGAACACTGCGCGAGCGCTGCTGCGGCTGTAAACGGCTGCGCATCGGCGCCGCGCCGTCGTGGAACGCCAGCGTCTTCAGCTCGGTTGGCGAAGCGTACAGCTTGGCGTCAGACGACGGCCGGAAGGTGGAGGGCACGCGGCGCGCGCTGCCGTCGCCTATCGGCGGCGGCACGGCGTACTCGGCGTCTGTCAGCAGCGGCCCGGCCGGCGCCGCGCCGCCACTGAGCACCGCCGCACTGGCGCCGGCCGCCACCGCGCGGCCGCGCAGTTTGAGCTGGCGCATGCGGCGCCCGACGCCGCCGCGGCTGCTGCTGTGGTCGCTGGTCTCGCTGGCTGTGTCGGTGCTGGCGCGGCGCGCGCGACCGTACAGGTGCTCGCTGCTGGACCAGGCCGGCCGCGGCGCCAGCCGGGCGCCGGGCCCATGCTGCAGCGCGTGCAGGTCCTCCTGCGAGTGGCTGCGCCGGCGTGCCATCCACGATGCGGCCGACTGCAGGTCCGGCGTGCTGTGGAACGCCTTGCTCAGACTGCCAGAGTCACCCACATACACTGACTCGAGCGGACCGCCCTTCGGCTTCTTGCCCTGGAAGACGGGAAAGACTAATATCAGACAGAGTTAAAAAAAAAACATATGCACCAATCAGTTGCCGCATAGTCGTACCCCACGGCAAGCAGGCGCACAATGACTGAACTCTAGCATCAACGGGTGCAGAGAGGGGCGTCCGTTGCCACTCTCACGGAGGCAAGGCTCGCGTGGCGCCCGCCACCTACCGGTGCCGCTCCTCCCTCCCCCCCCCTGCCGCCGGCGGGTACCGCTCTCCTCGCACCTTGTGCCGCTTCATCTCGGCCACCGAGGCGTAGACGCGCGGCCCGCCCTGTCCGGCCGTGGGTGGGTAGCGCGGCGCAGAGCCCTGCCGGGCGAACAGCTCCTCCAGCTCGCGGGACGTCAGCCGAGAGCTGGCCGGACGCGTCCGAATCGAGGCCACCTGGACGCCGGCGCTGGGCACCTTGTACGTCTCCGAGTCGACCGAGCTGCTGTTGGTGCTGCGCCCCTCCGAGTCGTAGTCGTGAATGGCGCGATCCAGCGCGTCTGCCGGTCAGAGCACACGGCAGTCACCGGCCGGCCCCGGCAGCACTGGCACCGCCACGGCCACTCACCGGCCAGCACCACTCGTACACAGTATACATACAGTCATACATAAAGACCCGGGCCACGTCGTCAAACAAGACCGTCCGGGCTAGCCCACATGCCTCACTGTGGTAGTAGGTACTGGCACACGCTGCTATCAGTAAACTCTCCGGAACCAAACGTAACATAGGCTACGTCTCCATGACACAAGTTAAGCCGATTTTGCAAAATGGATTTGCTCAATCATAACATTCAGGCAGCATTTGAAAATGTAAATATAGGATTAGGTGCTAGCTAAAACCATTTATACGCTCGTTTTTTGCATAAGGTGAATAGTATCCGAGAAAAACGCACGTGAAATTTCTCTAAATCGATTTAGACGTGTCATGGAAACGTAGTGATAGTCGAACTTAATAAGTGAAGCCCACTCTAGCCCGCCACTCTCAATATTTTACCGTTGCCTACAGCCTGGTCCTGGCGTCCAGGCGCGCCCCCACCAGAGCACTGCACCGTGAGGGCGACTGGGTGGGCGCCCGGCGGCCGGGAGAGCTCAGCTCAGCTCAGCCCCGGCGGCCGGGAGAGCTCAGCTCAGCTCAGCGCCCGGGCGGCGCCACTCACCGATCTCTGGGTAGTTGTTGAACAGGGAGCGGGCGCGCGCGCGGCCCACACTCAGCGTCGTCTTGGGGTCGCGTTTAGGGGGCAGCGGCGGCACGGGTGGCCGGCGGCCGGCGCCGGCCGACACGTGTCGCGGCAGCGTGCAGAACTGGCGCGGCCGGTCGGCTGCCGCCGGCGCCAGCTGGCTCGGGTCGGGCAGCGACACCACCGTCATTGCCACCAGGTCGCCGGCGCGCCGGATCTGCTCCACCACCAGCTCGTGAGACTCCTGAGCCACGTCGACTCCGTTGATCTGCGCACACGGCCGGCCGGCGCCGTACGTCAGACAACAACACGGTCGGTATTGCAAACGGATCTACATCGCCCAGCATATGTACATTACAAAAGTGATGAGGTGTGAAACAGCACTGACGTAGCTAGAGCTCAGCTGAACCAGCTCTGTGTTGCAGCGCCTTCTCACTAGCCATCCAGCGGCTCGGCCTCCCGCCTCATTAACCCGCGCCCCGCTGGGGGTCCTCGATTTCCACGCCCTGCTGGGGGAGGGGGGGGGGGGGGGTTGAACATAATTCTAACTCGGCTCCTGGGCCACGTAGCGATACGCGGAAGGCGGCGTTCAAAACAGCGCCGAAAATGATGACGAAAACACATCGGTCACTTTTTTGCTCAGGTCATATGTTAGGTCACCAGAGGTCATTGAAAGCAAAATTTCGCCGATTTTTTGGTCGAATGAGGACAATTTCCAAGAAGCCAATAGATAACTCGGGAACTTATAGTCACAGCGACGCGGAAAAACGCATTCGATAGACCTATCAACGCTCTTTCTGGGTATTGCTCTCAGATTTGGCCTAGCGTCAACGGTTTTGCCTGCAGGGGGCACAAACTGTCAAAATAACCTTTTTTTAAAACAATTTTCTGCAATAACTTTTGACTCAAGCCCTGCACGAGCTTGCTTTTACCGGCATCGAGTTCCTCTCATCAAGACGCATCGAATAAACTATAATTTGACCTTGAAAGGTCAGCTTGAAAATTTGACCTCAGGTCAAGGTCATGACCTGACCCGAAAGTGTCATGCTGCGTATCATTCGATCCGTATTTAGGTGGTGGTGGTGGTATGCCATTTTAGCCCATTTTAGCCCATTTTAGCCCAGCCTCAATCACCAGTCCCGAGCTCCCCCACCTTCCCCCACCTCCCCTCCCCACTCACCAGTCCCGAGCTCCCCCACCTCCCCTCCCCACTCACCAGTCCGAGCTCCCCCACCTTCCCCCACCTCCCCTCCCCACTCACCAGTCCCGAGCTCCCCCACCTTCCCCCACCTCCCCTCCCCTCTTACCAGCATCCCGCCGTCCCGAGCTCCCCCCACACACACACACACTCACCGCCAGTATAAAGTCCCACTGTTTTAGGCCGGCTCGCTCGGCCACGCCGCCCGGGTCGACGTCGTCCAGGTACTGGAGCGCCGGGCACCGCTCGCTGGGGCGCAGCTCCATCAGCGGCGAGCTGGACTTGGCGCCGCGCAGCACGAAGCCGAAGCCCTTGGCGCTGCGGTGCAGCACCACGGTGCGCGGCTGCAGCGGCGCCGCGGGCCGGCGCTGGCGCGGCGCCGTGCCGTACGGCGTGCTCAGTGAGCAGCCCAGGCCGGCGGCGCCGTACGGCGGCTCGTCGGCAGCCGGCGGCCGTGCCGGTCCGGCCACCGGCGGCGACTTGCGCAGCCTTACCTCCTGGACGCAGCGGGCGGGAAACACGCCCAGCTGGCCGTCCAGGCAGCCTTCCAGCATCCCGTGATCGGTGGAGGCCGACACTGGCCGCGGTGAGAGGGGGGGGGGGGGGACGGGGCACCGTCAGAGGGGTCGCCCGCGCCGACAGAGGGAGCATGGTACACGATGCAGCTAGTGGCGTGGAGGAGCTCAGAACTCCAGGAGCAGCATTAGCAAACATAATTCGACAAATAACAGACACATTGCAATGTAATCGGAGGCAGTGATTTCGTCCACACCGAATATCATAATAAGTACGCAGAAAACATCCATTTCAAGTCAAGCAGGCGGCAAAAGGCCGATGAGTGGCGCTGCCGGGCAGTCCGCTCTGCGCAGCGGCGCGCCGAGTCAGCTGCCGGCCGGCTGCTGGTCGGCGGCATAGCCTACCTTCGATGATGTCTCCGTGCGCGATGGTCAGGTGTCCGGGCAGCGGGCTGCTGTAGGGTTCCATGCAGACGACGGTGGCGCCGGCGGCGGCCAACTGCACCAGGCCGGCCTCGGGCGCCGTGTCCGGGACGCTCTCACCAGAGCCGGAGCCGTTGCTGGTGCCCACGCCGGAGCTCTCGGAGACCACGTCAAATAGGTCCTTACCTGGAGACACCGCGCAGCGGTCAGCCGCCGACGCCGGCCGGCAGTCGGGGGACGCCCGGGTTCAGCACAGGGACGCCCGGGTTCAGCCCAGGGACGCCCGCGTTCAGCCCAGGGACGCCAAGGGTTCAGTCGTGGGACGCCGGGGTTAGCCCACGGATCCCGGCGGTCAGTCGTGGGATACCGGGGTTCAGCCCAGGGACGCCGGAGTTAGCTCACGGATCCCCGCCGTCAGTCGTGGGACGCCGGGGTTCAGCCCAGGGACGCCAAGGGCTCAATCGTGGGACGCCAAGGGTTCAGCCCAGGGACGCCCGCGTTCAGCACAGGGACGCCGGGGGTTAGCCCAGGGACGCCGGAGTTAGCTCACGGATCCCGGCGGTCAGTCGTGGGACGCCGGGGTTCAGCACAGGGACGCCGGGGGTTAGCCCACGGACGCCGGGGTTCAGCCCAGGGACGCCGCTAAACACGAGCGCCGACAATGTTCGGCAGCCATATAATTAATTATGAATAGGACGAATATACGAATTATGCAAACTCACCAGATCAGTGGAAAAATCCAGTTCATTTACCAGCATTGCATGTCCCTCACAGATTGCCTTACCGATACAGTTGTGAGATAGGTACCTTCAACGTTTTAGACATTCAGAAACGTACTGCTACGCTATTCGAAAACAAAGTTTAATATTTCATGTGTTTGAAGCAATAACGGTTGATAACGGCGGTAAAAAAGGCGAAATTTGGGAGGGTTAAACCTGTTTGCACGACATCAAGCCACAATAGATCTTCTATCGTGCAAAATCCTTGGATTACGCCCATCAATTGTCAAGGAACGGGTAAAAAGCGATGAGGTTTATTTCCACCAAAGCTGTGACAAAGATAATCATGCGCCGCAATGGTTCAGCAGTCAAAATAACTTGTACTTTTTACATAGTTGTGTGAAACGTTTTAAACAGTTACATCGCTGTTGTTACCAGCCAAAAATAATGTCTGCCGTGCAAAGGCCACCTATGCGATCTGCGGCACGTTTTTCAATGGTCGACCACGTTAGCCATCTTTATCGAGCTGGCGCTGGGAAATCGTGCCAACAGCGCAGCGCACTCAGAACAAACAAACTGCCGGTAGACTGCGCCGCCGCGCCGGCCGGCCGTGGTACCCACGCGGCCACCGGGACACCCCCAGTACAGTACCCCAGTCGAACACGGCTGTGAGCCGTCCCACCCGCTGTGGCCGCCGGCCGCGCCCCGCCGGACCCTGCCTGCTGCTCTGGTCCGAGCCATCCGGCACGCCCCGCGGTACCCCCAGCGCGGCGGTGGCGTGTGTGCCGGCCCGAGACTGTATCAGTGCAACGAGAAGTGGCCCCCGACATTGCCCGGACAGAAACACGCCCAAACGTCAACGAGGGATCAGTCGCCCGATTGCTGTGGCAAAGTCGATATGATTGGGGTGGGCGTTATTACCGAACTGAAGTGTGCGATCAGCACAGGGTGACTAAGGCCATATCCAAAGGCTCGATTGGGTGCCTCGAATCCGGTGATCGGTGGGGTTCAATTTGGTAGCACCGAGCTGGCCAGTGGCCAGTGCTGGGTCTGACGACATACAGCGCGTCCTTAGGCCCGCCGTGTCCTCCCTCCCCCCCCCGCACTGAGCGGCCCGCCGCGTCCCTCACCAGTCCCCCGGCCCCGCACTGAGCGGCCCGCCGCGTCCCTCACCAGTCCCCCGGCCCCGCACTGAGCGGCCCGCCGCGTCCCTCACCAGTCCCCGGCCCCGCACTGAGCGGCCCGCCGTGCCCCTCCCCAGTCCCCGACCCCGCACTGAGCGGCCCGCCGCGTCCCTCCCCGCCCCCCGGCCCCGCACTGAGCGGCCCGCCGCGTCCCTCACCAGTCCCCTGCCCCGCACTGAGCGGCCCGCCGTGCCCCCCCCCCGCACTGAGCGGCCCGCCGCGTCCCTCACCAGTCCCCGCCCCCCCGCACTGAGCGGCCCGCCGTGCCCCCCCCCCCCCCGCACTGAGCGGCCCGCCGCGTCCCGTACCATGCAGGAGCGGCGGCTCGGCCTCGCTGGTCGGCTGGGTGCACGTGCCGCTGCTGCCCGTGCTCGTCTCGCTCAGGCTGGACGCCGACGAGAACGGCGGCAGCGAGCGGTTCGAAGGCGACGGCGACGGCGGCTTGGAGAGCGGCGAGCCGAGCCGCGACTCCGAGTGGGTGCGCGGCAGCACCAGGCCCGAGCGGCGGCGCGGGTTGTACTTGGGCGCCTCCTTGAACGGCACTGCGCGGCCAGGCGGGGACATGTCAGATGGATACAGACAGACGGGGACATGTCAGATGTACAGGGAGGACGGCGACATGTCAGATGGATACAGGCAGACGGCGACATGTCAGATGTACAGGGAGGACGGCGATATGTCAGATGTACAGGGAAGGCGGTGATATGTCAGATGAGCGCCACTATACGAGAGGGAACAGTGGAGTACTGGCGTGCCCTGGCCGGCGGCGCTGTGCCCGCCTCCCCGCGGCCCGCGGTACGCACCAATGTCCTCCGGCCGGTGGCGCTGGATGATCTCGGCCAGCTCCAGGTTACCGGCGATGACGGCCACCTGGTAGGGAGTCTGGTTGGCGAAATTGAGCGCCTCTCGGTCGGCGCCCCTGAAGAGCAGCACGCGCGCGCACGCCTCCTCGCCGTTGATGGCGCATACGTGCAGCGGCGTGTTACCGGACGCATTGTGCAGGTTCATGTCGGCGCCATAGAACAGCAGGTGCTCCAGGTGCTGGGTCATCGACCGACGCGCCGCCTGCCGGCAGTCAGACCAGCTGGTAGTACACGCACTACCTACCTGGTACGGGCGCACCTCTCCCTGCAGCACCTCCACTTTACCAATCCGTAAAAAAGGAGGCTCCGGTCCGAAATGTCATTACATCGTTGGAATTTGGAACGAAAGCAAAACACGTGGAAATAATATTGTTATTCCTTGTATTGGAGCCTGGCATAATGATGAAATGTGCTCAAATTTCCGTCCAAATAACTAAAATTACAGCCGTTAGTAGAAATACAGCTAGTAAAAATACAGCCGTTTCCACCCTAAATCTATATACGGCTACGCGTCGTGCATACCCTTTGAACAAATCCCTGCCGTAATACGGCAGACATCTAGCAAGGCGGATCTCTGCTGTGAGACGGTAGTCCGGTGAACCTCTGCCACGCCCTGGCAGTCCCTGTGGACACCTCCTCAGCCCCGGCAGTCCCGGACCCGGTGGACATCTCCCCAGTCCCGGCAGTCCCTGTGGACACCTCCCCAGTCCCGGCAGTTCCGGTGGACAGTGGACACCTCTCCAGCCCCGGCAGTCGCGGGCGCTCACCTGGTGGACCTCGGCCCATCCCTGGCAGTCGCGGGCGCCGATGGTGGCATGGTCGTGCAGCAGCGCCTGCGTGATGCTGGCGTCGGCGTTGTGTACGATCGAATAGTAGAGCGGAGTGAGGCCCTTGGCGTCCTGGTAGTTGGGCGAAGCACCCAGGTCTGGCCGACACGAAAACACACACAGAGAGAGGCCCGTCAGCAACACTCAACAAAACAAGCTATACCATGAACGTGGACTGGCTTAAGACACTTCAAGACCACACTTGTTCAAGTAAAAAAAAAAAGACTGCTGTCTGTTCTAACGCTCCGTGCAGTTGAGCTGTGAGTGAAAGTGCGCAGTGTGTGTGAACCACCGGCCGGCCAGTGGGGCGGCCGCTCAATGAAGTTATGCAGCAGCAGCGGAATTCCCGAGACCTTTATAACCACTAAAACCTGTATTGTATGGCTAGCACCTCTCCACTTTTGTGTTCGTGCACTGAAAAAATTTTTTACTCAGGCCAGGCATTACTCAGTAATAACTCATGAAGAAACTCAGTGAATACGATAGTGGTGCTCACTTATTGGCTGATCTAACTCACATCACCAGGGTGACTTCGTTATGCGTGAGTTCTGAGTGCTTAGTTTCGTGAATTCGAACTGAGTCGGAAATGAGTTTTGCTTGGGCAAATCTAGTTTCCTGCGCAATGCATGAGTTCTCGCGAATTCACGTGCACTTGTGCGTGAGGTACCCCCGGCTTGAAGATGCGCGCATGCGCGGCAGGGTGAGTTTCCTGCGTGATGCGTGAGTTCGCGTGATGAGTATTATAGCCGTTGCGTTCGAAAACCGCGGCGCGCGCTTCAGTCCGTTGTGGCGCGGTGACTCGCGTAGTTCACGTTGAATTGTTGAGGCTATTGTGAAATTGTGCGGGAGAGTGCAGGAGCGGGGAAGGCGTGCAGCGAAGGATGGGACGGGTAAGTTATCTGTGAAGAGCTCGGTGATTGTCGATGAAGCTTTTATCAATCGCATGCGCCGCGGAGAACAGGGAGGTGAACTGATGGACCAGCAGACATTCCCCGCCGGCGTCAGGAGGTCGGTGCCAACCGTGAACGGCGGAGCAGATCGATCGAGAAACTGAGGGATACCTACCCGGCATAGTTCGAAAAAGAAGAGGTGAGTTATGTTACCTTTAAATTTAAAAAAAACATGTTTGTGGGATAATGTTGCCCTTATACTAAAAGAACGTTCATTTGACCCTTTTTACTTCTTTAAAAAAGAGCTCCGTCACGACCCGATGTTTTTTTTTTGGGGGGGGGGAGGGAGCGAAGGTTGTTTGAAGTCGATTCTTTCCATACAGCACCCATAGGCACAATGTTAAAAATGTAAAATATTGAGGGACACGTCCCCCGTACCCTCCCCCCCCCCTCCGTCGGCGGAGCCCATGGTCTTAATTCCGCTCGCTGAACCGTTTAAGATTCTTTTGTCTCGTTTGTGCTTATTATTTTTCCGACTGTTATTATTTTTTCCGACTGTTTTTTTAATGCCTACACACATAGTTTCGTACACTATTCGATTTCAGCGAGAATTTTCAACCTTTCTTACAGTTCTGGCGCGAGTTCGACCGGGTGGTGGGTTGCTCAGCCGGCTCGAAGCCGGCACTGACCACTACGAGGCCTCGATGCAGCGGCTTAAATCATAGCTAAGCCGAGTTCAGGCGGCATGCTTCAGCACAAAAGGTTTGTGTTTCATTATTTGTTCATTTTTACACAATAAAATAAGGAAAAGCAACGTAACTAGCAATTAAGTATGTGAACGTGCTTCAATATTATATATGCATCAATACAAACATTAATTGCGTGTATCATTTGTACATTAACTGATGAAGATTATTATTATTATACTTTGTGATTATTATTAAGATTATACAATATATTATATATATATAATATAATATAAATATATATATATATATATATATATATATATATATATATATATATATATTCTTTGAGGCAGATGTCATTAAACAGCAAGGCAGCTTTCGCTTTTGATAGTTTTTTGTTGAGTTTTTGGGCTTGGTTGAATGTTTTCTTGATTGTTTCAGGTAGCGAGCTTAATGTTTCAGTTATATTCATTAAAGTTTTTCATTTTGTCGACGCGTTTCGATTGTATTCTCAAACAATCATTTTCAAGACTGAGTACAAAATCAACAGGGTCCGTCGGGATATGCTACTTCTCATTCGTCGTTTAGGAAAATAGCTATGCAACAAAAACATGTGACGGCATAATCATAACACTTTCACTAAGCTGGCGCAAATACGACAGTCAACTATTTACATATATATATATATATATATATATATATATATATATATATAACATAATTATTTCCATTACTGTTAAGTATAACACATTTTATATGATTGTTTCAAGTTGATTTTAATATTGGACGCCCATGGAAGTGTTTTGCGAGACTAAATCCCATCTGTTAAGGTGACCATCCCACCTTGGCCCGCGCTATGCTGGGTGGCGTTTTACGCCCCCCCCCCCCCGCCCCCTCAGGTTTTTCGCGAATATCTAAGAACGGCGGCGCGCAGCGCCACCATTTTCGGCACACCTGCTCATACATTTTTTTCTGCATATGGAAGAAATTTTAGACCCAGGACGTTCAAGGTCAGGTCACGTCAAATGACTTAACATCAGAAAAATTTTCAATGGTCAATTTTCAAAGCCTGTCCCGTAGCTCAGTTGGTAGAGCATTGGACTCCCGGTGGTGAGAGCCCGGGTTCGAGACGCTCCGGCGCTCGATATTTGAGACTCCTGACGGCCAGGGTTGTGCTTGACTCATGAGTCGAGTCAGAGATTTGACTCAACTCTGACTCAGATGAGTCAGGTTTGAGTCGAGTTGGATAAAATATTGAGCTGTTGAGTTCAGTCAGAGTTGAGTCAGACAAAAATATTAAGGTGTTGAGTTGAGTCAGAGTTGAGTCAGTAAAATAACTTTTGACATTGAGTTGAGTCAAAAACATTTAGGAACATGAGTCAGCTGACTCATCTTTCTAGAATCAATATATAAGCTTTTCATTCTCCCCCCCCCCCCCCTGCTTAACAAATTAGGCCTGACCCTGCTGCCGATTTTTTTTTACCCCCCCCCCCCCGCTCAACAACTTTTTTATCTGAGTCAATTTTGAGTCAACACACTTGACGCAAAAAAATGAGTCAACTTTGAGTCAACTCATATTTTCATTGAGCCGCTTGAGTCATGAGTCGATCGAGTCAAGGGAAAAAATCAGCTCCTTGTTTGAGTCAGAGTTGAGTCAGGGCTTTCTGAAGTTGAATGATGAGTCGAGTCGGCAAATTTTTTTTGAGTCGAGCACAACCCTGCTGACGGGGATGGTCTGCGGTTGGTGGGAGCAGCCGCAGCCAGTTGAAGTCAGTTGAGTGGGACAGGCCGTGTCCGGCTTTGAAGGGCACGTTAAACTTTGGCATCTAAATTCTCCCGATACCCGGAATTGCGCGATCGGACGGTAGGGGTCGGGGTCTACGCAACAAGCTCTGCTTAGCGTGGGCTTCGGCTCTGTCAATCCGTCCATTGAAACATTCGAACTAAATTTATTTAAAAAAAAAATGGTCGCTGACGATCGCACCGTTCGCAACGTGCCATGGAAACCGTTCGATATTTTTGTCATTTTTGCTCAGGGAATTCACCGCTCGATTTCACACCAGCTTGAGGTAAAATGTCAAAAAATATCGAACGGATTTCATTTTATAGCGTTTTTGATACTGTCCCATGTCTCAAGTATCAACCTTACGGCAGTATAAAATATATTTGCTAGTGCAATAAAACACCTCATATGTATTCAGCTTGACGGTTTGGATCGACTGATATAGAAACATGACCTGAGGCCTCTTGCACCAAACTACCTAGCTAGGTAAAATCGAAAAACTGGTTTCAGAATAAGCTAATCTAATGGTGGTAAATTTGTTTGCAATAGCCCAATACATAACCCTACATGTGCTTGCTAAATTTTGCACGCAAATTGTTACATTTGAGACTTGGACTGGGTATACGATGCAAAATAATCCAAGCATTGGTGCAAGAGGATTTTGGTGCAAGAGGCCTCTGGTCAGGTCAACCTGAGGTCAAGTTTTGAAAATGGCCTTTCAAGGTCCAATTATAGTTCATTCGTCCCGACGAGAGGAACACTATGCTAACGGCAAAATAAATGTCGTGACTCTTGAGTGGAAAGTATTACAGAAAACATGTTCGTAAAAACGGCTTTTTTAGAGTTTTTGCTCTCTGGAGGCTTAATAGTTGACCTGAGGTCAAATCTGAGATCAAACGCCAGCAAAAAGAAAAAAAAAAACGTCGAAAGGGCTTTTGACTGCATTTTTCCGCGGGCAGCTCTTTTGGTTCCAAGTTAAGCACCAGTAGAGGGGACGTGAAGACGACCCCCCCCCCTCCAGTACATCACGGTAAACTCAGAGCACCAGCACGGCGCGGTTTAACATTAATTTTGAGCTGAAGTAACTTGATAACTTTTGATATTTCAATCAACTTGCATGCCCTATAACTTCCGTTTCTCTTACTGGCAAAAGAAAATCTGACTTTTTTATTGTGTTTTCAGGGAACGGCCCATTGAGCCTCCTCTGCATCTTGGCGGAGAAGGCGTCAGTGGTGGCGTACACGGGTGACGAAAATTTGGATCACCCCATCATAACAAGTCCGAAGGAAACGAACGGTGCCGCCTCATCGTGGAGCGAACGGAAGTCTTGTGGGGATCCATGGTTTGGAAGGGAGTCTTTTGTTGTGGGCGACGGCGCACTTTGTGCTCAATCAACAAACGGCGCACAAAGTGCAAAACACGCTGTGGTTTGTGTGTATCCATGTGCTCCACACACCATTCAATGCTGAGCGCCAGCCACCTGTAGCCGCGAAGACTGAGGTCGAGAAGCTGGCAAAAAGAGTGAAGCTGAGCTGACGTGGAGTCGATCCCTCCCCGACGCAGTTTGGCGTGTGTCAGAATTGAAATACAGCGCAATGCGACCGTTTCTACAAACATATATTTCTCGTAAGGGCTGGGGCGAATAGTGCAAGACTAGACGTTGGTCGGGCATGGTATAATACAGATATGTATGCTGGTTTTGGGCAATGATTCGTTATATATTGGCCAATCCCAATATATAGACTAGCTGCCTGGTAGTGGCTGCTGTATCAGCATCATGCATGCATATTGCATAATGCTGATGCGGCAGCTGTTATCATGGGCGGCGAGCCTATACATTGGTTTGAGCCAATATAAAACGAATCAGATCAGCCGTTTCAGGCGGCGCCTGAGTAACACCCGAGTATCGTATGAGTTATCGATGTGAGTACGTCCTGAGTACAGCCCTAGTTTTCACTGAATAACCGATGAGTTCCACCTGAGTTATGGCCGTACTACCACCTGAGTTATACATTAGTACCAGCTGAGTTACATGTGAGTTACTTCCCAGTTTTTCATGAGTAATGACTTACTATTTCCTGAGTTTGGCCTGAGTTGTCTGAGTAGGACATGAGTTACGCATGAGTACTTAATGAGTTTTATCTGAGTTTTACCATCGGACAAAATGGCAACTCACTTTGTTACTCACATGCTACTCACTTGCAATGAGTTTTGCCCGAGTTTTACCTGCGTTCCGCCCTGAGTTTTACCTGAGTACCCGGATTTAGAGTGAGTTTTACCATTGGACAAAATGGCAACTCAGTCATTACTCAGAAAAGTGAGTAAATTTTTTTTTCAGTGTGATTCCGGAACGAACGAGCGAGCTGTAAATTGTAAACCGTGCGCCGCTGAGTGGGCACTGGGAGCGCAGCGGGGCGGAATCTGGCGCGCTCTGCGCCACCTTCTGAGAGCTCCACGCAGGCGACACTCGGCTGCCAACCAGCCGGGCGGTCACCGGACGCCGTGTCGCTTACGGTACGGTCATCCCTGATGGTGTAACCAGCTGGGAAGTCACGTCCGCCGGCCGTGCTCCTCAAAGGGTAAAGGCAGCGGCGGGCAGCACGCGGCACGTTTCCGCATAGCAGCTGGGAAGTCACGTACAGCCCTCTGCAAACTGCGTGGTAGGTATTCTTTTTTTCGACAAAAAACGACAATAACTCGAATACTATGCTATTGGTCATTCGGAAATCGTGACAGCAAGACGCGCGAGACTCTGCACCTTAAATTGGCATTATCACCGTATTCATTTTCCATCTAGTTCGACAACAAAACCCAAAAGTTTATATTTGCCCCAAAACAAACTTTTGCGTTTTGTTGCCACACAAGGCGTTTACCTTGTTTAGTGATAGACCTAATCGAAGGAGTGGAGCATGGCGCATCTATTTGCAGTGAGTTCCGACCGACTGATAACATAGCCTTTGAGTTATTATTTGTTTTGTCGAATACAGAACACCTAGGTACCACGCAGTCTGCTGAGGGTTGTAGGTACCTACTTCTAGCCATTCAAAGCCATTATCAACGAGGCAGAGAGGTGAGCATTGAGTGAATATTGGCAGAGTGATTTTGATGCCGCAGAGGAAAGTCGCGCCGAGCGGTTCAGCTAGCGTTCTGCGCACACCTGAAAGCTAGTTCTAAGAGTGGTCGAGGTTCATTCATGATTTGACACCTGCTCTCTCTTTGAACCCAATTAGCAGACAGCAATGAGATCACCCACCGGCCACCGCCACCACTACCAGCTGGTATAATCAATAGATATGTACTATATAGAACGTCGCCTGTCGGGTAAACCAACGACGCGGAAGTCGCCCATTTTATCTGGATGAGAACAGGGCAGCTTTTATATTTTTTGTATATGACAAAAAATTATGATACTAAATTGTGAGTTCAGCAAATTTCATAAAGTAGTTATTTTTTAATGATCTGTACCGGCAAATGCATACTAACCTTAGTTTGAAAGTTAGTCTAAAGTATGTTTAAAGGCATATAGTTGATACTAACTACTAAGATTGAAGGAGTTGTTAGAAACAGAAATGGCGCAGCTGTGAAATTCCTCAAACGTGTTCGCGAGCAGGATTTAGGTAGGTACGTGATATCAGTGACATCTTGAAATGTATACGAGGATGCTGACTGGTTCATCGAATTCATGAGCGGTAGGTATTCATTCACCTACTTACTGCGGCAATGGTACGGTATGGCAATGGTACGGTACAAAGCTGCGGCAATGTACGCATGCGCAGTCCGCAGGAGCTTGGCCTCATGGAGGGGCTTTTGGGACATCGGGCAGCGCCCAAAAAGTTTTTGGACCTGTTCTGGCCTGGGCATCGAAAAACGCTAGATAGAAAGGTTGTAGTGAAAGCTTCAGGCTACCTTTCCCCACAATCGGTTTAGGATTTTCTATTGTGTTATGTGTGAGGCTCGCTTGAAAAGGTTGATTTAACATGGGAACCCCATGGGGTAGTAGTTTTTGAGCGCCCATTTGGTCTAATGCTACCAACTGTTACTGGCTACCCCTGACCGTCACGGCACTGACAACCGACTGGCAATCTCAACTAGCCGAGAATCCAGCGAGGTGTGCGCCCCTCCCTCCCGCTCTCGCCAATCTCACCGAGCAGGGTCTTGAGAGCCTCGAAGTTGTTCCTTTCGACGGCCTTGTGTAGCGCCGTGGCGCCCTCGACCGTCCGGTAGTCGACCAGCGCGCCTCCGTTCACCAACGTCAGGATCACGCGCGACGGGCTCTTCAGCTTGGCCGTCAGCGTCAGAGGTGTCTCTGTCGGCCGGAGGGCTGCTGTCAGTGGCACACTCCAGGCGCCGTTCACGTGGCCGTCAACACAGCCCATATCTATACGAGTATATTTTATTTATTTAGCCGTGTTATTATATTCTACATTTTGTTATATTTAACCCGGATTCAGCCCAGATTCGGGACGCACCCGATCTACTTGACACTCGCACACAATAGAGCCCGTGAGGTGTGGAACAAAAGGACTAAACCATTCGGCGTCGTTCTTAATTGTTCGACCTGCAGAGGTCATCAAAAGACACGACCCCCAAATATCCACAGCAAATTGTGGCCCAACCAGTGAAGATAGATTGCTGAAAATGGCACCAAACAACTCACCAAGACCCAGGCTTAGGCGTTCGTACCATCAATTTTACCCCTAAAAGTCACGCGATAACCTTAGGTCATTTACGGGTTAGGTAGAGAAAAACTTGAACAGCAGTTCTTGAATATAAGAATAGGAATGATTGCGATCGATGACCCAGCACAGATCTCAGCACGGCAGTCCTCTGCTCCCAGACGCCAGTCCTCTGCTCCCATACGACAGTCCTCTGCGCTCTCTCTCTCTCTCTCTCTCTCTCTCTCTCTCTCTCTCTCTCTCTCTCTCTCTCTCTCTCTCTCTCTCTCTCTCTCTCTCCTCCCCTTCCCTTCCCTTCCCTTCCCTTCCCTTCCCTCCAGCCCAGCTGACGGACGACGGAGCTGAGTGGGTATCGATTTTGCCCTACGGCCTACACGAAGTCTTTTCACGACGTAGAGAAACGCCACCCATACGTCCTCCGACTGGGGGATTTTCACTGACGAGCTGCGGCCGCCACGGCTGTAAATGCCGTACTGCACTTTTGATGGACTCTGCAAAGCTAAGCTAGCCGCTGACTCAGTGATGGCGCATATAGCGCCATCACTGAGTCATGCGATCATATCGCATATAGGTATGCGATAATATAGAGAGATACAAGGCCTGCACCGCGTCTCTTGGGGTTGAAAAGGTTTAAAGGAACTATTTTAGCCGATCCATATAGTGATTAGTGGGTGCTGAGTTACTAGTCATTACTCTCGGTGCCTTTGATGCACACTACAATTTATCTACCTCTATATTTGAATTCGTCGGCATGACCTTTCGTTTTTACCTTTGGACATGACCTGTTCGTTCACTGCACTGCACACAGTGCCGCACAGTTTGCTAAAATTTGGACCCGTCGCCGGCGTGGTCCAGTCACTCACCGCCAGTCTCCGGGCAGTGGAAGTTGGGGTCGAGTCCTTTGGCGCACAGTTTGGCCACCTTGTCGGCGTTGGCCTGCAGCACGTGCTCGACGATTCGGCGCAGGTTGGCGCGGCTGTGGGCGGCGCGCAGCTGGCGCTCGTCCATTTTGAGCATCTTGTACACTCGCCGCTTGTACTTGAGCTGCGAATAGACGGGGGCGGCTGTCACACGGAGCCACGGTCGAACAGACGGGGGCGGCTGTCACACGGAGCCGCGGTCGAACAGACGGGGGCGGCTGTCACACGGAGCCACGGTCGAACAGACGGGGGCGGCTGTCACACGGAGCCACGGTCGAACAGACGGGGGCGGCTGTCACACGGAGCCACGGTCGAACAGACCATGGCTGTCACACGGAGCCACTTCGGACACAGACTCTTCAGAGCATGAATTCTGTCAAAATTCACTCAAAACGTTCAAGATGTTGGCACAACAATCATGAGCATGTCAAAACAGTTAGTCATTGGTGACAGCAAACTTCTTTTTTGTTACGCTCGGGCTAGACCTGCATTAGCTCATAGACATCGTGCTTTTCGATGGCTTATGGATGCATAGTATAGGTATAGTCATTCACGGTCCAGAGCACGTCGGTTATCTCCGCTGTCCCGCTCTCTCAGCTGAGAGCGGTGTGGCCGGTGGCCACTGTCTCACGGTTCTGTCAGGAGAGCCCGCTCGGCCTTGGCCGCCGAGTGCTGCGGGTGAGGGCCACTAGTACACAGCCGGAAACAGCACCCACTTGTCGCTCGTAAGCGCCAGACAGCTGACGGGCACTGTGTGCGACTCGGAACAGGTGCGCGATAACAGAGCGACAGGTAAGTGGCCCGGCTGAGGAGCTAATCATGTCATTGCAAGGTCCAGAGCAGCACAATCGCTACATCCGTTGTTCCCAGCATCAATGGTATGGCTCTGCGGAGTGAGCGCTGTGGACACGCAGCAGCGGCACCCTCGGCCGTCGGCCACATACCGAGGGAGGCGCCACTCTAATCTGCGGCTTCAGGATCCGCTGACACTGAGCTGCCGCCACAAGGTCTTCTCGGGAAAACCGAAACACGGAGCAGCACGCCTAGGAATGTCGGCAGGCCTGCGCGGCGAGTGGTCACTGAGCTGTGTTACAGATAACATGGAAAGGAGGGGGGGGGGGGGCAGTGTGGTAGGGCTGTCAGTGGTGAGCAGCGAGCTGCCACTGACAGCCCTACCACACTGCCACTGGCAGCCCCACCACACTGCCACTGACAGCCCCACCACACTGCCACTGGCAGCCCCACCACACTGCCACTGACAGCCCCACCACACTGCCGCTGACAATCCCACCACACCACTACTGACAGCCCCACCCACACTGCCACTGGCAGCCCCACCCACACTACCACTGACAGCCCCACCACACTACCACTGGCAGCCCCACCACACTGCCACTAGCAGCCCCACCCACACTGCCACTGGCAGCCCCACCCACACTACCACTGACAGCCCCACCACACTACCACTGGCAGCCCCACCACACTGCCACTAGCAGCCCCACCCACACTGCCACTGGCAGCCCCACCCACACTACCACTGACAGCCCCACCACACTGCCACTGGAAGCCCCACCACACTGCCACTGGCAGCCCCACCCACACTGACACTGACAGCCCCACCACACTGCCACTGGAAGCCCCACCACACTGCCACTGGCAGCCCCACCACACTGCCACTGGCAGCCCCACTGCGTCTGGCAGCCCCACTGCGTCTGGCAGCCCCACCACACTACCACTGGCAGCCCCACCCACACTGCCACTGGCAGCCCCACCCACACTACCACTGACAGCCCCACCACACTGCCACTGGAAGCCCCACCACACTGCCACTGGCAGCCCCACTGCGTCTGGCAGCCCCACCACACTACCACTGGCAGCCCCACCCACACTGCCACTGGCAGCCCCACCCACACTACCACTGACAACCCCACCACACCACCACTGGCAGCCCCACCACACTGCCACTGGCAGCCCCACCACACTGCCACTGGCAGTCCCACTGCGTCTAGTAGCCCCACCACACTGCCACTGGCAGCCCCACCACACTGCCACTGGCAGCCCCACCACACTGCCACTAGCAGCCCCACCCACACTACTACTGACAGCCCCATCACACTGCCACTGACAACCCCACCACACTGTCACTGGCAGCCCCACCACACTGCCACTGGCAGCCCCACCACACTACCACTGACAGCCCCACCACACTACCACTGACAGCCTCACTGCGTCTGGCAGCCCCACCACACTGCCACTGACAGCCCCACCACACTGCCACTGGAAGCCCCACCACACTGCCACTGGCAGCCCCACCACACTACCACTGACAGCCCCACCACACTGCCACTGGAAGCCCCACCACACTGCCACTGGCAGCCCCACCCACACTACCACTGACAACCCCATCACACTGCCACTGGAAGCCCCACCACACTGCCACTGGCAGCCCCACCACACTGCCACTGGCAGCCCCACTGCGTCTGGCAGCCCCACCACACTACCACTGGCAGCCCCACCCACACTGCCACTGGCAGCCCCACCCACACTACCACTGACAGCCCCACCACACTGCCACTGGAAGCCCCACCACACTGCCACTGGCAGCCCCACCCACACTACCACTGACAACCCCATCACACTGCCACTGACAGCCCCACCACACTGCCACCCGCAGCCCCACCCACACTACCACTGGCAGCCCCACCCACACTACCACTGACAGCCCCACCACACTGCCACTGGAAGCCCCACCACACTGCCACTGGCAGCCCCACCACACTGCCACTGGCAGCCCCACTGCGTCTGGCAGCCCCACCACACTACCACTGGCAGCCCCACCCACACTGCCACTGGCAGCCCCACCCACACTACCACTGACAACCCCACCACACCACCACTGGCAGCCCCACCACACTGCCACTGGCAGCCCCACCACACTGCCACTGGCAGCCCCACCACACTGCCACTGGCAGTCCCACTGCGTCTAGTAGCCCCACCACACTGCCACTGGCAGCCCCACCACACTGCCACTAGCAGCCCCACCCACACTACTACTGACAGCCCCATCACACTGCCACTGACAACCCCACCACACTGTCACTGGCAGCCCCACCACACTGCCACTGGCAGCCCCACCACACTACCACTGACAGCCCCACCACACTACCACTGACAGCCTCGCTGCGTCTGGCAGCCCCACCACACTGCCACTGACAGCCCCACCACACTACCACTGACAGCCCCACCACACTACCACTGGCAGCCCCACCACACTGCCACTAGCAGCCCCACCCACACTGCCACTGGCAGCCCCACCACACTACCACTGACAGCCCCACCACACTACCACTGACAGCCTCACTGCGTCTGGCAGCCCCACCACACTGCCACTGACAGCCCCACCACACTGCCACTGGAAGCCCCACCACACTGCCAATGGCAGCCCCACCACACTACCACTGACAGCCCCACCACACTGCCACTGGCAACCCCACCCACACTGCCACTGACAGCCCCACCACACTGCCACTGGCAGCCCCACCACACTGCCACTGGCAGCCCCACCCACACTACCACTGACAGCCCCACCACACTACCACTGACAGCCTCACTGCGTCTGGCAGCCCCACCACACTGCCACTGACAGCCCCACCACACTGCCACTGGCAGCCCCACCACACTGCCACTGGCAGCCCCACCACACTGCCACTGACAGCCCCACCACACTGCCACTGACAGCCCCACCACACTGCCACTGGAAGCCCCACCACACTGCCACTGGCAGCCCCACCACACTACCACTGACAGTCCCACCACACTGCCACTGGCAGCCCCACCACACTACCACTGACAGCCCCACCACACTACCACTGACAGCCTCACTGCGTCTGGCAGCCCCATCACACTGCCACTGGCAGCCCCACCACACTGCCACTGGCAGCCCCACCACACTGCCACTGACAGCCCCACCACACTGCCACTGGAAGCCCCACCACACTGCCACTGGCAGCCCCACCACACTACCACTGACAGCCCCACCACACTGCCACTGGCAGCCCCACCACACTACCACTGACAGCCCCACCACACTGCCACTGGCAGCCCCACCACACTACCACTGACAGCCCCACCACACTACCACTGACAGCCTCACTGCGTCTGGCAGCCCCACCACACTGCCACTGACAGCCCCACCACACTGCCACTGGCAGCCCCACCACACTGCCACTGGCAGCCCCACCACACTGCCACTGGCAGTCCCACTGCGTCTAGTAGCCCCACCACACTGCCACTGGCAGCCCCACCACACTCCCACTAGCAGCCCCACCCACACTACTACTGACAGCCCCATCACACTGCCACTGACAGCCCCACCACACTGCCACTGGCAGCCCCACCCACACTACCACTGACAGCCCCACCACACTGCCACTGGAAGCCCCACCACACTGCCACTGGCAGCCCCACCACACTGCCACTGGCAGCCCCACTGCGTCTGGCAGCCCCACCACACTACCACTGGCAGCCCCACCCACACTGCCACTGGCAGCCCCACCCACACTACCACTGACAACCCCACCACACCACCACTGGCAGCCCCACCACACTGCCACTGGCAGCCCCACCACACTGCCACTGGCAGCCCCACCACACTGCCACTGGCAGTCCCACTGCGTCTAGTAGCCCCACCACACTGCCACTGGCAGCCCCACCACACTGCCACTAGCAGCCCCACCCACACTACTACTGACAGCCCCATCACACTGCCACTGACAACCCCACCACACTGTCACTGGCAGCCCCACCACACTGCCACTGGCAGCCCCACCACACTACCACTGACAGCCCCACCACACTACCACTGACAGCCTCACTGCGTCTGGCAGCCCCACCACACTGCCACTGACAGCTCCACCACACTACCACTGACAGCCCCACCACACTACCACTGGCAGCCCCACCACACTGCCACTAGCAGCCCCACCCACACTGCCACTGGCAGCCCCACCACACTACCACTGACAGCCCCACCACACTACCACTGACAGCCTCACTGCGTCTGGCAGCCCCACCACACTGCCACTGACAGCCCCACCACACTGCCACTGGAAGCCCCACCACACT